GCACTGGTGAGGCCACACCTCAAGTATTGTGTCCAGTTCTGGGCACCTCAATACAAGAGAGATATCGAGGTGCTGGAGCGAGTGCAGAGGAGGGCAACGAAGCTGGTGAGGGGGCTGGAAAACAAATCGTACGAGGAGTGGCTGAGGGAGTTGGGACTGTTTAGTATGAGGAAGAGGAGGCTGAGGGGAGACCTCATCACTCTCTACAACTACTTGAAAGGACACTGTAGAGAGGTTGGTGCTGGTCTCTTCTCACAGGTAATTAACAACAGAACAAGAGGGAACGGCTTCAAGCTCCAACAGGGTAGGTTTAGACTGAACATTAGGAAGGAATTTTTCACAGAGAGAGTGGTCGGGCATTGGAACAGGCTGCCCAGGGAGGTGGTGGAGTCACCATCCCTGGATGTGTTGAAGGGACGTTTAGATGGGGTACTGAGGGATATGGTGTAGGGGAGGACTTTGTAGAGTAGGCTTGGACTCAGTGATGCCAAGGGTCTCTTCCAACCTAGACAATTCTATGATTCTAAGTTTTACAAGTGGTGGTGGCATATTCAGCTTGTGCCATCTCTTCCATGCATTTGGTTAGTACAAAGATAAACGTTCGCTTACATAGACACTATTTTGATAGCATTGCAGTTTGTGTATGTCAGGACTTTCTTACACTATGTACAACAGAAATGGACAATCCTAAGATTTGATCAGCAACAAATCTTCTTCAGTTATTCATTACACGTCCCCTGAGAGGAACCGAGAGGAATGGAGGCGCGGACCCGGGTGGGTCCGTCAGGAGTAATGGCCTCCCGCCAGCGGGAGGGTAGGGTGCGGGACTACAACTCCCAGCAGCCATTGCGCCGAGCCCGCCATTCCGGGCGCCAAGGCGCGCTTCCGGCGCGCTGAGCCGGAAGAGCTTGGCTGCACTTCCGGTGGCGACCGGCACGTGTGGGAGAGGAGCGGCGCGGCCCGGTCGGTACCGCCGCCATGGCGGCCGTGCGGGTGGAAGAGGTGCTGGCGGCTGCCGAGGAGCAAGAGGCGGAGAAGCGGCGGAGCATCACGGTGGAGAAGGAGCTGGAGCTGGAGTTCGACCTGGGCAACCTGCTGGCGGTGGACCGCAACCCGCCGGCGGCGGCGGGGCTGCGCGGGGACGTCCCGCGGCGGGAGGCCCTGCTGCGGGCGCTGGCCCGCGACAACACGCAGCTGCTGGTGGCCCAGCTCTGGGAGCTGCCGGCCGAGCGGGCCGGCGGGGCGGGGGGACCGCTGGTGGCCCGGCTGCCCGAACCGGCCTTCCGCCTGCCGCGGGAGAAGCCGCCGCCGCGACCGCGGCCGCCGACCCGTTGGGAGCAGTTCGCCCGGCTGAAGGGCATCCGGCGGCGCAAGCGGACCTCGCTGGTGTGGGACGAGGAGGCCAAAGAGTGGCGGCGGCGCTGGGG